CCCCCCCCCCCCCGAAAAATCTGGAGTGCCCTCCCGGGTGAAAATTTCTGAAACCATCACTGTATACAACACGCTGGTAACGTCACATCAGAGGAAATTGTTATCAGTAATAATATTCCTATAGCAACTGAAAGTCAGCTGCACTTGAGGTCCTATGAACCTAAGTAAGAAAACTACAAAGACATTCATATTAGAAGTAATGATCATGAGCGTCGATGTGATTCTGCTCTAGAAATAAAATTAACATCGGTGATTACGAAACTTCGCTACCGTTTAAACATGTCTGATCTCCCTTATAAAATGGGACAGGTTATTTAGATGACTACAATAGATACAACTTTTTTTTAATGACGTTAAATGATAAACTAAATTGTACCGTTCGCCCTGATGACATAATTATTAATTTCAGGATTCTATCTCAAAGTTTGAGAACCGTCAATTGTCTAAAGACAAAAATGATTCTTTTCTTCAGTGTTGACATTCATATGGTTTTAATGTCATTATATTCACGAGAAATAAATAATCGTAATGATTTTTTTTAAAGACATACCTTATATTATTTAGCAGCTGTTAACTCAGAACTTAGCTAATAACATAAAATCTTAATGAAAATGTACATCAACACATTTTTTTTTATATAAGTAAAGAGACAAATTTAATTTGCTTATATATTGCTAGAGGAGTAAAAGTTTAAACCCATTTCTTTAAGATTTTCATGCAAAACGAATTTGATATAGTACAGCCAGCTGTAAAGGCATTTGTTTATTTTTTTATGTTTAAATACATTTTATCTATAGGCACTTGATCACTGTCATGTTCTTTTTACTTTCTATTTGGCTACGACGCTATAGCCTTCAATAAAAAAAATTGTGTCCGTCCATTAAGACAACAACAAACCAATGAATCATAACACTAATGTGCTTCATTAGTATTTAGTCTACTTGTACACATACGATCTTAATGTAATAGTAATTCACACCTGGAAGTGCTTGAATTATTTTAGTCTGAAACGTAACACCGCTTCGTAATTGTAGCTTTCCTGTAATAAAAAAAAAAACCATAAAACATTTGTACTTGCGTATACTAGATAAATAGTGGAACAAGACAAGTTAAAGCTTGGGGGAGGGGGCAGACATGACATTGTTTTGTTTAACTATTTATTTTCGTTACACAGCTTGAACGCGGTCTCTAATACGTCATCCTAAATATGTATACAGCAAAACTCTAAATGATTACTGATATGACAAGATTGTCTAAACATCTCCTCATCAGCTTGATTTGAAGGCATGTGTTTGATTACTTTTTTAATTGACTGATTGATTCAATACAAACATGTAGTCGTAATATTAATGTATGTACTCTTTAAAACTGGATGATAATAATAATACTCAACTTTTATATTGAAAAAAAATTATCTAATTTTAAATTCAAACCAAGTTTTTATTTTATCAACCAATTTGCTAGCTAATCTAAACTATTTGAATGCAACTCTCTACTACTCTTCATCCGAGAAATGCAAATGTTGCAGATCATTTAAATACAAGCATTGTCTTATACTTTTGCCTAGAACACTAGAAGTTTATATGTTTCATATACTTGTTTATTTCTAAATCGTTTTTTTTTTTTTTAAATAATTGTGATTAACACTTTAAAGACTATTAACCATCATCATTGAGCCCCAGTGGCAATTTCGGAGTATTAATAAAATATATACATAAAAGGAGTGTGGTAAAATGTAATTATAATACTTATAAGATAAGATTCATTTATTGATCGAAATAAATATGTTCTGAAAAGAGGAGTTCAAAAGAACACTACTCAATCCAACAAAGAATAATTTACCTTCAATATTAGAACACAAAATTAAGTTATCACCTTCAAACTCAATTTTGTTTGAAAGGGATGTTAAAGAATATATTTTCGCTGAGGTGTACTGTTAAAAAACTAGTTTTTAAAATGTTCTGTTTCGTTTATTTGTAAGGTTTTTTTAGTGAGACATAATGCTTATCCGTATGATGAATATGAATAAGTACAGCGTGATCAAAACACATTTCTATTTTTTTTTTTTGAACATCAAACGAATATTGTCTAATGGGTATAATTTTAAGATGTTCCTCCATTTAAAAATATTTAAAATAACAGATTTAAATTTGAAAGTGCACTCGCTAGAAAATAGCATTGTAGTTAGCGATTTCACCTAATGGAACTAAATAAAAGCTGATATTTAAGACAGCTTCTCCTTTTTAGCATTTTAATTACTGTTGACTTTGATATAAAAGTTGACATTTTAATTTAACTAAACGTGTTTGTGGATCTCCTTCAAATGTTACATAATTAATTTAAAACTGTATGTGCATTTATTAAATAAAGCTATGTGTTTTATTGATTATCGTTGGGAATTGTGTGCAGCACATGGTGTCTTTTGTTGTGTATGACTTTCTAAAAAAAATTGTGGTAGAGCAACTGGTGTAACTATAATTAGTAATGCCCTGGGCTCGTCAAAATTTTTGACGCCTACATCAGGAACAATCACTTAGGCCCAAAACTCCCCCCCCATCCCACCCGGAGATTACTGCCCCCCCCCCCCCTCCTATTGAGTGTACCCTGGGCTCGTCAAAATTTTTGACGCCTACATCAGGAACAATCACTTAGGCCCAAAACTCCCCCCCCATCTCACCCGGAGATTACTGCCCCCCCCCCCCCTCCTATTGAGTGTGGTGAAAGGGTAGATGATAGATGAAAGTTTAGTTTCTCTGGTTAGACTCAGCTGACAAAAAGCTGAACTAAGTTTATTTTTTCTTAAATTGCTTCTTAGCAGATGAAGGTGTTTAGCACGACACACATGTTTCTTACTATACAACTTTATTTGCAGAGCTTATAAGACCGACATACTTAGCCGCTATTCAATGTATATTTTGTGTTCAACGCTTGAAGTTAATTAGTACATTTGTATAAATCAACACATTTCAGTTTGATCTAAAATTTTTTGAATACATTTTTTGTTAGAAATATATATTTTTAAATGCACGATGTTGCGATCTGTTGATAACAACCACAGTACACGGTGTAAAAACTAGTTAATGACAACCCCAGCCCATGGCTTAAAAAAATTGTTGACGTCTACCCGATCCTATGGGCTACAATCAAGTTAATGACAACTGTTACCAACGGGCTACAATCTCATTGACAACAACCCAAGCCCAGGGACTACTATCTAGTTAACGATAACACTAGCCCACGGGCGAAATCCTTTTTAAAGACAAACCCAGCCAACGGGCCACAATCTAGTTGATGACAACCCCAGCCAACGGTCTACAATATAATTGATGACAACTCAGTCTTACTTTTTTAAAAAAATGTGTCATTAAATTACAGGAAGCTACTTCCCATCATTACAAGCTTGGTTAAAACTTCCTTTTAGACACGAGGTGACTTACACATTCTTCTTATGCTTGTAAAATATTTAACGAAATCTAATGTCCTTCATGTAAGTATAAGATAGACACATGATAAATATACTCATCACGTGACTCGTGGACATCGACAATCCATTATTTAACGCCGACTGAGGATTCACTCAACTTTATCTCAAAAGCCAACTGCGCCAAATTAACAGTACTGAAACTCCTACATCTTTAAAGTGTAAGTGGGTTTTTCAACCGTGGATGGCTCAAGTTGACACTCGTGTCAAGTAGTTAAAGAAACGAAATCAGTCGGTAATTGTTGTAGGAAATGGTTCTCTTAACAGAGGGATAAGGTATTCATATTTGGGAACTACTTGCGCTCATGTGTAAGTGGACGGGATAATGGACATAGTTTGAAAATCTTGGTCTACTGGGAATATGTTTCATTAACTGTTGCCATTTTCTGTGTGTAGATTTTCCATTCTTAGTGTGATGTGTATCGTTATAAAAAATTCCCACTTTAAATAGTCGTGAGACGTACGTGCTGAAAAACACGTTTGTAGGAGAGGGCTCGAAACAAAATTGTTATCT